AATAAAATTCCATCCACTTCTGATTTTGTGCTTATTGTTTTCTCAGTACTGGCAGCATCTTTTTCCTTTATCTTTATAAAGTCAATGTCAACAAACCGAATCACTCGGGCCAATTGCTCATGATGGGTTAAATCAAACAGAATACCATAGTATTTGTTTATACGAATTTTTGACAAACAATAATTTTGCATACGTGAAGCCATGAGATTTATAAACTCATTTTGGATTTCAGGAGAAAGATGAGATGTTGACATTTGTTTGTTTTTAACATGCTCTAAATGCTCTCTCATTATTGGATCATACTTTGCTAATAATTGCAAAAGTTACAGGAAATTTCCAGGGTTTTTGTTTGAGGTTGTGTCCTCAGTATGACCACATAATGCAAGATTCTGAGAAGCCAAATATTGTGTACAATACAGCAACCATCGCAGTACATCTCTCTCTTTAATTTTTTCTTGCTGAATTTGCCGTTGCAGCTCTTCATCAATGCTACTTTGAAGACAAATTCGGCGCTCAGTTTCTTTCCAAGCAGTAAATGACTCACGATGACTGCCACTATTTTCATGGGCATTTAACTTTTCAATTTTTTTCCACTTAGAGAATCCACCCTGTGTTTTGAAAGCAGACCGACTATTGCATGTCATACATGCAAATGAAAAAAGAAGACAACAAAAGCAGTATGCTGCTTTATGTAGAGGTGAATACACCAACCAGGAATGATTGACCTCTTGTCCATTCAGAAGGCGTCGTTTGAACCAAAATGCAGTCATAGAACGCCCATCTTTGGCATCTAATGGACCTTCTTTATGTTGAAATTCATGTGCTCCAACTTTAACAATCGCTGTGCAATATGCATGTGTTACAACTGCTGAATCTGTTGTATCAGACTTCATAAATCCAATATCCCTGTGTTAAAATATCTATTAGGTCATCCTCTTTTAGATTAGCAACACTATTCTGTGGATTTGTTTCTTGTTTATTATTATTGTAGCTTTCAACAGGACAGAAAACAG